ATTTCAGCCAATCAAATTCGTGAATTCGGTAGTTCCCAGTCCTTGTGAGACACAGCTATATAGTAATAATAAATAATAGTAAAGCTAGTGAACAGATTGGTAAATAATAAACTTATTATTTATCAATCTATTTAATGGACTGCTGCATGCACAACTTTTTTGCCACATTAAACATCGACAGTCAACTCTTTGAACTTGTGTCATGTCTTTTAACAGAAAAGGTCACCCCAGAAAACTTATTTTTTTTGTCAAAGCTAATAAAAACCTTGCACTAAGTTTAGCCACTCACCAGAGTTTCAGCCTCTAAAGTGCAGGTTTTTCATGTGAAATTCATCTCTCAAGAAGCCATTTTGAACAGTACTTAGCAGCCAGGCCACATTTTCCTGAGGTCATTCCATCCAAGGGATTTTGCTAATGGCTTCCATCAAGGCTTTAAAACTACCACCCTAGGTCATGGCTGCTCAAACCCTATCATTTTGTGTTGTACATGCTCTAAACCCCGAAAATGATAGCAGTAAAGACAACGAAGTGGATAATCGGTTGGAAAAAAACACAATTTGCTGACCTTGTGAAGGATGCCAAGTTAGTTGCAGGTTTTTCTCCTTCCTGCCAATTTCGAGTTGGACAGAATGATGTAACACAAACACAGCCTGGCTGCCAAGTACAGTTTCAAAATGGCAGCCCCCAAAGTCACATTTTGGGGAGTCAGGATAGCAGGCAGTTTAGAGGCCAGAACTTTGGCGAGTGGAAAACCCAATGTTTTCTTGCTTATAGGTGAAGACAAAAAAGTAAGCTTTTCGGAGTGACCTTCTCCTTAAAAGAACCTCACTTTTTTCCTACAGTACAACATTTATCCAGTACCAGAGACATTAGAACAGACCTTCCAACAAATTAGTGTAAACTCCCGCCTTAGATAAATGTATTATCACATCAGAACCCATCTTGACTAAATTTTTCCATTTTATGTACAGAACCTTGAGGATGATGAAGAGTTTCAACAAGCTCTGAAAACAAGTCATGGACAAAGGCCTGGTGTAGTAAGTGATATTTCACTTTGCCTATCACAGACCTGCCAACCCACAGCAAATGGAAACCTGGAGATTGTCAGTCCTGGAACTGGTGATCTCACTACTCAAATGAAAGCTAGAATATTCCTTCCTTATATTCCTCTTGTGGTTTCATCACTAATTTATTGTTTTGCCTCAACTACATGTAAACCACCAGATGTGGAGGTGATACATACACTGTATGGGTTATTGACCAAATCTGAGGTCATTATGGCTGGGTATTGACCAAGAGTTTTTTTGTGTGTTTATGGACTGAGGCACTGCTGAGGTCCAGAAACACACAAAAAAGATTGAGACCAAATGTTTGGTCGATAAAGCATGTATACAGGGCACTATTTTCCAGTGGGATGCAGCAGGCAGGCATCCGTATTGTACATAATTTTTAGAGGGCCACTGGTTTGTTAGTATTTTTATACTATTTTAGTGCTACCCTCTTTAAATAAAGTCTTTACTTACTTACTTACTTACTAAGCATTGAGCAAGCAAGCAAGCAAGCCATAGTTTGCACATAAAATCTGGGGAAAACAATTTGTAGATTAAAGTACATTTAAACCTGATTTAACCTGAAGCAAACAAGTTACAGGGAAATGAAATCTGCTGTCACAGATTTTTTTCTTTGAAACAAACAAAAATGATTGTGATGTTATTGTGTTTGTAATGGGGACTAGGCAATCTTGCTCCAAACTGGAGAATTTGGTAGGTCGCATTTGGTTTAATATTCTCACAAGTGAATAAGGCTATGTGCAAGTATTGTTTCTATTGTTTTTTCTGTCTTATTAAGTTTTCTACTATGAGTACTGAATTATCTATTTGCTTTTTTGTAACAGAAAACTGGCATGAAGACAACATCAGCTGGGGTATGATATGATTTTACGAATTGCAATTTACCATGCTGAATTTCTCACTTTTTAGGCCAACTAGAATGTCAGAATTATTTAACTTAGCTTGTAATTCCAATTGGTTATGAAAGAATTGTTATTTTGCAATGACATGGGTTTTTCTCCATTTTTTGTCCAATTTCTTTCCCACGTATGCTTTACAGCGTGGCAAAGTTCCAGGATCTTCAATGGGGCGACCTACAACTGGAATTGCAGTAAGAATGTTTATTTTGTTCCTTTAATGTCACATGCAGCCAGATTTATCAAATGGTCTTAGTTTATGATTTCTAATCTCTTGTCCCTAAGGGATTGAACAAACTCAGACATTCTGCTAAATTACACTAGTGAATGGTACAAATTGTTATTTTTCAAATAAAACACTTACTATCAGTAAGAATAAGAAGGATTAGGAGGTTAAAAAATATATTGTTTGCATACTTTCGAGGACCATAACTGCAATGTAATTGTCTGTCTATAAAAGGTGACATCTATGGGAGGTCTCCATTAGCAGAGGCTGTACTGTACTTGGCCAGACAGCTTGATCAGGAGTCAAGCACACTGATCATGAACACTTTACTTAAAGGGTTGCTACTTATTCCATCAGAGCCCAAGCTATCAGCTTAAGAGATACTGTGCACATCTACTTTTGTCAGTGGCACAAAAATACGATAGGGGCTATAACTGATGGTAATTCACCATTTATTTTTGGCAAGGATCATTGCTGTCTGTTTCAAGATTGGTTGAAGTGAATGTTGTTTCACACTAAGTGCTTTCTTGTTAGGATACAGGGATGGCTCGTCCAATGACTGCAGTTCGTGCAGTGGGTTATACATCATCAGAAAGTGAGTGGAGTTACTTGTTTGAGAATTGGAAGGTTCCAGAAAATAACTATACCCACCTCATGGAGGTCAATGCAGATACTCCTAAGGGATGGGAAGTCAAGATAAAAGGTCAAAACATTGCAAATTGTTTTGCTTTACTTACAGGGAGTTTAGTGACAATAGCTCCTTGTATCAGTTGGTTACCCCTTCCTTCGTTTTATCTTTTCTTCTTAGAACACCAAGTTTTACAAAGTTGCGTTGGTGTAATGATCATTTTTTAGGCTTGAGACCCAGAAATCAATAATTAAAACTTTTTGATGTGTACTCTACTTGCGACATTGTTTACTATCCTTTGTCACTTTAAGTACATTTCGTTTCATTATGTATGTTAAGTAAGTTTATGAAGAAAAGTTGTAGGAAGGAAGGCTGGTATTTGGGAAGGGGGGCGGGGAGGGAGGGCTATAACCAGAATATCCTTTAGTTAACAGGTAGATGAGTCTCTTAGAAGGCTTATAAGCAGGGATTGGGAGTGGCTTATAAAAGGGATTCTATAGCGTCTGTATCCAGTAGTACATGCTTCAAACTACGGAAACCAATATATCAGTAGCAACCATCTATTTATAAGAAGCATGTAGACATACTTTGGTTAATTTCATTTTACATATGTACTTATCATTTTGTTCACTTTCTTTCAGGATCTCCTATGACCAGTGGTGGCCAGTTTGACCCATTCAACCAGGCACGTTTACCTGCCCCTCCCCTGGAAGGGAAGGGCGAGGAAAGGTTGGTTGAATTGAATAACTAGGAAGATTCAATGTTTGTTTTGGTCTTTGGTGTCATTTTACAAGAGCCATTGTAGACCTATGGTTGAATGTCATCTCCTGAATACATACACTTATGCATTATGTACTTCTTGTATCATGGAGTTTTTCCTCACAACCTGGATTCTATTAACAAGAATAATTTTTTGTTCTTTGAGATTAAACTTGAAAAATGTTATTTAGTAAAAGGAGTTATAATAAATGCATGTTTGCTTGTGTTATCTACAGTCCAGAGGAGAAAGTCAAGCAAATGGAAAAGAAAGTAAATGAACTGATTGAAGAAAGCTGTTTTGCTAATGACAGAGGGGAATTTCCACTGGTAAGAAAAACATTTCTTCCATGATACTGGGTACACAATATTTTAATGTTAGTTCTTTGAGGTCAAGGGCCATATTAGGAGCTACCTGTCAAATGTTTGTAGATGCCCAGTGGGGAAAAAAGTATGACATAAACAGGGGCAAGAATAAAATGATGATTAACACCCTGACTTGTGTTATAGTTCTGATTGTTATGCAAGGACCTTCCAAAATCACAACATAAAAAGGTTTGAAATTCAGATGGGGGGCATGCATAACCTCCGCTACAGGGTCCCCATTGATCTACGTAGTATGCAAAAATTGCCAGTGTTGAGTATCTGTATTGTTGCAGGATTTGTATTGTCTGAGCTATTTTTGACACCAACCAATTTTGTTTTTTTTTCATTACAAAAGGCTCTTGATAAAGCCAAGGAGGCTGGTCGTAAAGAGCGTGCACTGTGTCGACAGAGGGAGCAGGCAACCCATCATGACCAGATAAACCTGGATTTGACTTACTCTGTGAGTACTGTGCTTTGCTGAATTCTTTTAAAACACTTGTTGTAAGTTTAATGTTTTTTGTGGATCCAAACATTCTTTTGGGGACCACATAATTCTACCTTTTTCAGGCATGGTCAGCAGTAGCCTCTTTATTAACATTATTCTATGTTATTTTCTGTCTTTGGCAGGTGCTGTTCAATCTGGCCAATCAGTACCATGCTAACAAAATGTATGCTGAGGCACTGAACACATACCAGGTTATTGTCAAGAACAAGATGTTCAGCAATGCAGGTAAACAGGATGATAATAGGAGAGACCATCCAAAAGGTTAACTAGCTATGATTGTTGATAAAAATTCTTTAATTCTTGCATTCTTTCAGGACGGTTAAGAGTGAATATGGGAAATATTTACTTTGAGCAAAAGAAATATCCACAAGCAGTAAAGCAGTATAGAATGGCCTTGGACCAGGTGCCTAACACACACAAGGACATGAGGTACGTTCCTTAAGCTGCTTGCGTGCCCTGTGCAAGTCTTAGTTTACTTTTTTTTTTACTTAGTTGCAAGACAACTTGCCTGGGCCCTTGTCCATTGGGCAAGTGAGAATGAAAAGTTTCTTGCCCAGCAGGAAAATCTACTTGTACTGGACAACTGGATAGTGCTTTTTTCGAACCCTGTGTTAGCACTCTTGTTAGCATACTTGATTTAGTTGTTTTAAGCTCACTGCCAGAGAGTTTTCTCTTATGTGATGTTTTTTGTCTTTTCTTCAAAAGTTTGTAAAACAGCCGAAAGACAAAAGAAACTTGAAGTTCTTTGTTTTTGTAAGAAATGTTTGTTACTGTTTGAGTTAGACAGGATTAAAACAAACAATAGAAAAGTGACAGACAATATCCTTTAAAAGTGCTTTTTCTTATGTTATTGATTACATGTACAAGGAAAACTTGATAATAGTACTTTTCCTTTTTAAAGTTATTACAGTGTACTAGTTGTTGTAAAATTTATAACAAAATGATCAATTAGATTAGAGCTACTTAGATTTGTAAGTAGTTCTCTATAACAATTTTCTTTTCTTCAGGATAAAAATCATGCAGAATATTGGTGTGGCATTTGTCAAGATGGCACAATTTACTGATGCTGTCACCTCATTTGAGCATATCATGGCTGAGAAGGCAAGTTTCCAGACAGGTATGTGGAATAAAAAAGGCCTTATTACCTCTGTCACTGGTTATATACCATATGTGACAGCTGTTTAAGGTTACAGTATACCTTCAGGGGTGTCTCGCACGCAGGCGATGTAGCGCGTGCAGTTTAAGCTGTAGATACCTAAACCCCTATATCAAATAAAAGCTTATGGAACTGGCTATCAAACTATACCAAGAATTTTGAAAGAAAATGAATTGTCGAATTTTTCACGACCATTAAATGCGAGCGCCCGAATCACCTTTC